TTTCTGCTCTATTTGCCTGGCCAACAAGTGATGCCACACTATTCCAACACCAGCCCACACCTTCATCCAGGCAATCCATGGGAGACCCAAAAGCCTAAGACAGACACAAAGCAGTCCTTTACTGCTAAAGAAGCCATTCCTGCTTTAGATTCCTATTCAAACTTCACTGCTACTAGGAAAACAAAACACTAAATGTACTTTTAAAAAATCCACTTTTAGGGGATTTTTAGGGGTATAGTTTAGTGGCAGACTGTGCTTGGCATATACATAGCCCTGGGGTTAATTCATAGCAGCCCCTCAAGTAACTAAAATAAAACCCACTCTATTGAACTAACGAGACTTGAAAAGCAAAAAGGTTTAGGGTTTATCTTTCTTTTTTTAAGAGTATATCATAAAATAGGAGGAACAATGAGACAGTAAAAGTGCCAAGGGCTCTGAACCTATGTGCAATTGAATTTTTACTGCTAACATTTTCAGGCTTCAGAATTTGGGTTATCCTGTGATTTCTTTTCAATTCATATCTTGAGGAGGTTTAAGTGATGGCAGCTTTGGCTCCTCCAATAAAATAATTGTTATGTGGTTCTACCACACAGAATCAGAGACTTAATCCAGGAAAAGACAGAAATCATGCAGTTATCTTCTCTTATAGCCACCTAACTCTAGTCTGCAACTACATTTTCTACATCAAGAAGTAAGAATGGTTGGGCATTGGTGGCTCATGCCTGTAATCTTAGCTATTCAAGAGACTAAGATCTGAGGATTGAGGTTCAAAGCTAGCCAGGTAAGAAAAGCCTGTGAAATGCTATCTACAGTTCAGCAAAAAGCTAGAAGTGGAGGTGTGGATTAAGTAGTAGAGATCCAGGCTTGAATTAAAAAGCCAACTAAGAGCAAGAGACTCTGAGTTCAAACCACAGTACTGCCACCCTCCATGCTAAATTAATTAGTTAAAATATACACCCACACGTGTGTGTGTGTGTGTGTGTGTGTGTGTGTGTGTATGACTCGTCTTCCATGTACATAGTATGCATTTCAATTTTCTTTTTTGTCATTCATGGGGCTTGAACTCAAGGCCTGGGCACTGTCCCTAAGCTTTTAGGCTCAAGGCTAACATTCTACCACTTTCAGCCACAGTACCATTTTCAGTTTTCTGGTGGTTAAATGGAATTAAGAGTTTCATAGGCTTTCCTGCCTGGGCTGGCTTTGAACCACACTCCTTAGATCTCAGCCTCCAGAATAGCTAGGATTATAGGTGTGAGCCACCAGCGCCCAGCACTTCAATTCTTTTCCCATGAAATCATGCTAAATTGTTTCTGTATCATTTTAAAGAAAATGAGTTCAAATTTCTCCTTTCACTTAAGAAGCTTTGTTTCAAATCTTCCTATTGTCATGCAACGAACACTAGACCCTTCACTGTGCCATTGCCAGCTGCCCACACCTTTGTCAATGCCTCCATTTGCAGGGAACTGAAGTAATCTGGCCACTATTGGCAGATCTACTGACTCCAAGTGATATGATATGTCCGGCACAGCTTCTTTTTATGTGAACGATGTCTTGAATACTAAGATGTCATCCTGTTTTTTTTGAGACAAGGTCTTACCATGTCTCCCAGGCTAGCCTTATAACTTGTGATGCTAAGAAGTCCTCTTTGTTGTTTTTGTTTTGTTTTGCTTTTTGGTGTTGGTCCTGGGCTTGAATTTAGAGCCTAGGCTCTGTCCCTGAGCAATTTTTGCTCAAGGCTAGCACTCTTTCGCTTCGAGCCACAGCGCCACTGCCAGTGGTTCATAGAGATGAGTCTCATGAACTCTCCTGCCCAGGCTGGCTTTTAACCATGATCCTCAGATCTCAGACTCCTGAGTATCTAGGATTACAAGGGTGAGCCACCAGGGCTTGTCTATCACCAGGTTTATAAACTACAGAATGATCTCTCATGTAATACAGTAAAGTCTCTTTTTCTACAGAAACCATAAAGTTTATAAAAAACCTTTTTTTTTTCTTTTTGTTAGTCCTGGGGCTTGAACTCTGGGTTGGACACTGTTCCTGGGCTCTTCAGCTCAAGGCCAGTGCTCTACCGCTTGAGCCACAGCACTACTTCTGGTTTTCTATTGGTTTATTGGAGATCAGAGTCTCATGGGCTTTCCCTGCCCAGGCTGGCTTTGAACCGTGATCCTCAGATCTCAGCCTCCTGAGTAGCTAGAATTTCAGGTGTGAGCTAGATAACCAACTTTAAGGCAGCCTGTAAAAATGCCCTGCTCAAAACTACTCTAATTAGTAAGATTCTGTTTCTGTAAGTATGGCTTATGAATTAGATAGTGGTTTGTCATGATTATACAACAGAGTAGTTTATTATAACATTTCTTGTTTTTCTTGTTATTATATTTATTATTATTATCATTATCATTACTATATTAGCAGTACTGGGGGCAGAACTCAGGGCCTTGAGCCTGTTAAACAAGTGCTCTACCACTTGAGCCATGTTCCTAGCCATAATAGAGTACTTTAGAATCTCAGTAGTTTCTCTTTTTCTAAAGATGCCTTCTTCTCTTCCAAATCTAAAGTGTTTTCTATAAGTCTATTACAATTACTTTATATGTATAGTAGAAGGTCAACTACAATTCTCAAAGTTAGGTTGAATATGAAAACAGACCCCAATCCCCAACTAAGAAAAAAAATCAAGACATCACCTTCTTCTTTTTTTTTTCAATTCAAAATTTAAGTAAGAAATGCTAGTGTTCCTCCTTGGGCTTGTCTAGTCAGCACAAACTCTCAGCACTGGACCTGAGTCCATAGCAAGGGACCCTGTGTGGCCAGAAACTGGCTCTCCTGGCTGCTGGAGAAAGGAGGATGCATGAAAAGACAACACAGGAAGGGAACATTTTTTTTTTAAGTTCCTTACTTCAATTTCACTAAAAATATATCATATTAAGGAGGTGGAATATTTTTTTAACTGAAGGCAGTATGCTCCCCTAAAATTAAGAAACAAATCTAAAGGATCGTGTTTCCTTTCTACAAAAGCACACATGCATGTACCACACACAGCTACCTACAAATGACCTAAGTATTAAATGTTAGTCACAAAAAAACATTCAATGTGTGAGAATAATCCAGAATCTTACCGCTTGTTCTAGTATTTCTGGGATGTGCTTGCAATAAACATTTGTAAATGATCTTCTTTGTCCAATCACAATTTTCTAAGACTTTTTCAGTGAACCTAGCACAAAATGTGTACACACACACACACACACACACACACACACACACACACACACACATACACACACACACACACACACACACACACACACACACACACACACACAGAAGTTCACTTTTTCTTTGGGAGTTCATTGCCTGAAGGCTCCCATGTCACATCAGTCATATATTAAAGAAATCAGAATGTCTATTCCTTGATGCTTGGTGTTTGGTTACAATGGCTCAGCTGTGATAGAAAGGAAAGATAGTTGTTTTCCCCTCCACTTCCACCATGGGTCAGTAGTTGCTATTTCAAATAACCAGGATGTCCTTCCATGTCTGAATGAAAGTCACAGATGAGGAGATTAAGTGACCTGCTTATTTCTGCACCCAGCTTTACTTGTGTTCCAAATGGAAAGCAGACCAGAATAATTGGACAGAGAACAGTCTGACTCAGCTAAACAGTCATGCGTGTTTCACGCATGGATTTTCTAGCCCCATTACAATGGTATCTGAAGGAGAGAATTCTAACTTGCTCATAATTTGTATCAAAGCATCCTTGTCTAAGAGAACCACTAAGACTTGTGCAGTTCTCAAAGCATTTCCCTATTATCATAGGATATTAGGTGTTGCTAAGTAACAGAGCCTTTCTCCCAAGAAAGAAACTTAATTCAAGTTGCTGCCCAGTATTTTAATAGCAAATGCTCAACACACCGGAATAATGACTCAGTGCAGTTTCAGAAGCATTTAGTTATCTGATCTGTTTCCAAATAACAAAGAATAATAATAATATGGTGGAAAGAAACTATTTTGAAACATTTCCATATATGATTTACAACAATGTCACTCCTTTAAAACAAATCAGGTTATAATAAACATCTCAGTCTAAGTTTTCTCAAGCAACAAACAATCTTTAATTACCTGAGAGTTAGTACATGGGATTTGGGAAGTAAAAATATATGAAGGGGGAAAAAAAACACAGCTCATGAGCAGAAACAACATATGAATGAGGGTAATAAGGACCAAATCCCTAGAGAATACGCAGACCAAGAAAATAATTTTAAAAATTAAAGGAGGTATATTTGATATGACAACCAAAAAGTAAATTGTCTCTCCTAAGTACAGCAGACACTTTGCTAAGTAAGTTTGCTAAGTAATAATACTACTTGGTAGTATTATATAAGCCAGTAGATGAAAATGAATAAATTACAAATCCATGAAGACAAAATTGAGCATTATAAGAACAGCTAACACACAGCTCTATGTGCTACACATTGTATAAAATACTTAGGTAGTTGAGCTCTATATTTATGGAGACTCCTATAGGCAGGTATTCTTATCCTCAGTTTTATAGATAGGAAAATAAAGGCACAGAGAAATGATGGTAGAGTCAGTGTTTGCCCCAGAGAATCCAGCTCTGCAGTCAATGATACTAGTTGACAACTGAGATCAGAATTGCATAAAAAAAGAACCACATAAGAAGCTCAGGAAGAACCACAAAGATGGAAAACAATTTTATTCCTTTTGCTCACAAGAATCCATTCCACATTAGATACAATAATAAAAAAAATCACCACCTATTTAAAAATTTTATTTTTATTTTTTATTTTTATTTTTTTTTTTGTCGGTCGTGGGGCTTGAACTCTGGGCCTGGGCGCTGTCCCTCAGCTCTTCAGCTCAAGGCGAGCGCTCTACCACTTGAGCTACAGCGCCACTTCCCCTATTTAAAAATTTAAAGTCAGGCAGCTAACATGCAAAAAAAAAAAATGATTCAGAGCATTAGTGGCTAATTTCTATAATCCTTGCTACTCAGGAGGCTGAGATCTGAGGATCCCGGTTCAGAGAGCCAGCCCAAGCGGACAATCCTGAGAGACTCTTATCTCCAATTAACCAGCAAAAATTCAGAAGTGGAGATGTGGCTAACGTGGTAAAGTGCAAGTCATGAGTGGAAAAAGGCTAGTGAAAACTTGAGGCCCTTAGTGCTAAGCTTGTGTCCTGGTGTGTGTACACACACACACACACACACACACACACACACACACACACACACACACAAAATATTACTTCCTTAAGAGATCATATGGTGGGAGAGGGTGGGCAAAACAAATAGTGGAAATCTAGTATTTCCCCATTAGTTGAATCAAAATTCAAATACATCAGTATGCAGCAAGCAAACTTCAAACATAAGATATATTGTATAAATAACATTTGAAGTGGATTTTGTTAGACATTATGGCATGCTCTGGATTACAAAATATAATCCACAAGACACTTATTATAGTAGAAACAAGAAACAGATTTTTGCAGATTCTTACAATAGGCATTATATAACAATGAAACTAGCACAGATAACAGCATGGTCGAACACTAGCAAACTAGGACAGAAAAGTATGCACATAGCCAAGTAAAACAAACAAGGTAGTAGAAGTCAGGACAAAGGTGACTTCAGAGAAGAGGAAGACATAGTGAATCAGAGAAGGCACAAAGAAACTTTGGGTTCTATAGTCTGGCTCCAATTAATGACCTGGATGGATGCTGGTTGCATGGAAAAATTCAACAAACTTCAGTACAGCTTTCTATGTATATAGTTCAGTTAATTTTTTAAGTAGTTGTACAAAGAGATTTCAGTTCAACAAGTCAGATTCTGAATACAGTGCATCCTGATCAATGTCACCCTTTCCTCAATTAATTTTTAAAAGAGAAATACAAAATAATGAAATGTGCAAACCTTGTTTACATTTTGATTTGAACAAACCAACTATAAAAATTGGTTTGGGAGAATAAAGAAGCGTGGTTAGGCATTATATATCAGAAAAAATAAAAAGGAGTGTCAGGCACAGGCATTAGTATTGTGGTTGTATTTTGAAGTGATGCTTATGGATGTATGAAAAGACAGGATATTTGGGAAAAATAACATGTGTGTGAAACAAATGTAGTTACTAAACTTAGAAGGAGAGTATGTGGGAATTCATTGACTGTTCTCTTCATGTTTGCAAATGTCTGAAAAATTTTCATGATTGAAAGAAAACAAGTTTTCTCCTAGCAATCTTATAAGGCATAAACTTTTTTTTCTTATAGATGATGGAACTGAGGTTACTGGAGGTAATAGAACTTGTCCCAAATAAAAAGTTCACAGCTGGTAGATCTGGGCTTGCTTACCTACAACAAACACAATGCAGGTTATATTCACACCTGCTAGAGTAACAAAAGAGAACTCTAAATGTGCCTCAGTTCTTTTCAAAGTTCCAACTTAGAGAAAGAAACAGAACTCCTAGGGGCAATCTTCCCTGTGAGGCTTTATGAAGTCTAGTCTTAGACACAAGTGGGGAAAGGGGAGAGAGGAGACGGGAAGGCCAAGAAGATGACTGAACAGTATATGGAAGTAGAAAAGAATTAAAAGACAAAGCCCATAAGGTTTGGAGCTGTCTGGGTGTCTGAGGTAGGAAAAGGGTAATAACTGAGCATTGCGCCTTACACAGAGTACAACAGGGTGACAATGTTGTTGGAAAGGGCTCTTGGGTGGTAGGAATGAGACAGCTACTGCTGGGACCATGCGGGAGAGATGTTTCAGATAGAGAAGGATAAAATGCTAGGACCAGTGTTTGGTGATGGATTCCCACACAGCAGTGGGAAGGATGGCTCTGTGAAAGTTTCAGGAGAACATGACTATGTATCAAGAGTGATGAAAATGGACCTAAACTAGGATGAAAGGATATTCAAGAAAGAGAAGGAATAATAGCTACTTTTAATCCATTAATTCATCATAGATACTGGCCCCTGCACCATGCTATTTACTAAAGAAAGGAAGAGAAAGATGAATTGGAGATTCAAAAACATTAAAAGTTCCAAATACAGCCAAGCGTCAGTGGCTCACATCTGTGATCCTAGCTATTCAGGAGGCTGAGATCTGAGAATCCTAGGCTGAGAAGCCAGCCTGGGCAGGAAAATCTGTGAGACTCTTGTCTCCAATTAACCAACAAAAAGCCAGATTTGGAAATATGGCTTAAGAGGTAGAGTGTTAGCGTTGAGTAAAAAAAAAAAGTGAGAGCAAGGGCCTGGGTTTAAGCCCCAGTATTAGAACAAGAAAACAAAAAGTTCTAGATCCAATATGATTGGAACCTTTCTTTCTGACATGTGAGAATGAAGGTTCAACTTCTCCAGTCAGTACCTACATTCTTAATCATCACATTTGATTTCAAGAGGAAAGAAACCGGTCCAGAATTCACAATAAAGGATAGCCAGGGTGCATTGGAGGGCAGATCCAAGAGTCTTCCTTAATTAGGCCAGCCTCACTACTGTGAGGCTCAATCTCTGGGCAACTGAATCAGGTGAGAACTGCAGTAATAGGTGGGCTATCTTCATCTCTGGCTTCCATGGGTCTCCTCCCAGGTCCTTCTCTTTATTTCATGCCATGAGGAAACTGCCCACTCGCAAAATCCCTCTGATAAGGAGAGATGTGGAGAATCTTTGAGGCAACCATGCAGTGGGGGAGATACAGTTGGCAAATGATCAATCTACAAAGACAAAGTATAAATTCATTGACTACCTCAACAGTTGAAGTGTAATAAGAAATCAATGCGGAGGAGCATTTGTCCACCTTCATCAGGGAAGAAAGTAACGCATGCACCTACATTCAAGCTCACATTTCAGTCCTGACAGATTTGCACATGCGGTCTTTCTGCAAGAATATCAATGATCTCAAATCATCTATATTGCTTCAGTAAGTCCCTCAGCACCCAAGTGAGTTCTTCATAAAGCACTATACTGTCTAGTGTCTGTATCACAGACACTATTTCAATCTCTGGGAAAGGAAACAAGGCGTCACTATTATTATTATTATTATTATTATTATTATTATTATTATTGTGGTAGAAGGGTTTGAACTCAGGGCCTTGTCCTAACTAGGCTAGGATGTTCTTTCACTGGGCCATACCTTCAGCCCTGCTTTTGCTTGTCATTTTTGAGATATATATGCTTCAGCTGTGCTCTATTTTAGGATTCCTATAGTATTAGGATTACAGACACGTGTCATAATGCTTTGCTCTTGAGAAAGATAGGGTCTTATAAACTTTTTGGCCTAAGGAGGCCACAAACTCAATCTTCATGTTCTCAGCCTCCCAAGCAGCTAGGATTATAGTGGCAAGCCACTGGTACTCAGTTATTAATAATATATACATACATACTACATACATACATACATATATACGCATATCTCTATGTACTTTTAAAACACACTAAAAATATTGTTAGTTTGGGATGCAGCTCAGTAGTAGTGCACTTGGATTGTATGTATGAGGCTGCTTCATTGATAAAAGGTAAAAAGAATGCTGTCTAAAATCCTTAGCTAAACTTGCATAACCATGTTCATTGCTACACTACTCACCCTAGTCAAGTTAAGACAACAACCCAGTTGCCCTTCAATGGAAGACTAGATCAAGAATATGTGAAAGATATATTATGTAGAAATCAGGACCAAAGAGTCGAAGAATGCATGTTTTTCTCTTATATGTGGAAGTTAGATCTAGAATATAAATATGTAAGTAATCCTATACAGGGTCATTGGCATATATATACATACACACAAACATATTAACTAAAGAAAGTTAGATTTAACATATATGTAATCATATGCAGAGACATGTGCATATATATGCAAATATATTAAATAAAGTATAATATATACAGAGAATTCCAATGACAGAACTTTTTTGAACAACCTACAGTCTAACAAAATAAAACCAGGAAGTCAGAAGCTGAGGTGTTGTGGGGTATGAAGTCAAGGGAGAGGGGCAGACAAAGGAAGGGTAGGACATAATATTCAATGTACATATGTGAAAATGGAACTAGGAAAATTGAGGATGAGGATGAGGTTGGGAGAGATGAGAATAATGTAAAACATGATATGAATCACGTGATATGCCTTGTACTCATAAACTGACACGTTAAATTGAAACCCTTTGTAAACTATTTAAAGATAATGAAGTATCGATGCCCTAATAAAAATAAATTAAAAAAATAAAATTCTTAGTCCTCATCTCAGTTATAAAGATGCCTGAGAAGGTAGACTGCAAGTTGTCTGATTATTACTCAGATGTTTTTAATGGGGATTAAGACAAGCAAAAACATTTTAACTGTGAGAACAGCACTGAAAAAAGCCAAGTGTAATTCTAACAGTGCTCTTTACAACTACTTCTCGTACATTCCAGGTACCAGGAGAGCCCAGCCCAGACTTCTTTGATTACTGCAGAAGCAGAAGCATGGGGCTGCAGGGTCCTGTGGTTATCTTGTAGGACTGTGTGAGAGTTGGAGACACTTTTGTTTCCTGGTCATCACCCAGTCACACAAATTACTGAGCCCAAGCTCCCCAGGGACACACATGAGGGGGCACAGATTGGGGAGCTCAGCAGTGGCCCTGACAGCATCAAGAGCTTTATCAGTTTTTCTGGAGCAGAAGGGATGACTGGTTCAAATTATTAAAGGAAACTGTATAGAAGGTAGAAATAGGATTATAGCATGGCATTTGCCAAAGATTCCCTAGACAGCATGGAAGTAAACTTCTCTGGACACTGTTGAACACATTGTTTGCCTAGCTCCCTCTCTGTAGGAATTAAGTTTTTGGTTTTTTTGCAGGGGGCAGGGAGGGGGTTGGTGCTGGTACTGGGGCTTGAACTCAGGACTCAGGTGGAGTCCCTCAGCTCTTTTGCTCAAGGCTAGTGAGCTACCACTTGAGCTACAGCTCCATTTCTGGCTTTTTATTGGATAGTTGGAGATAAGAGTCTCAGGGACTTTCCTGCCTGGGTTGGCTTCAAATCATGATCCTAAGATCTCAGCCTCCTAAGTAGCTAGGATTACAGATAAGACCACCAGTGCATGACTTCTTGCAATTTTTTTAAACAATTATTTTAAGTAGTTATACAAAGGGGTTTTAATTTAACATGTCAATTTATGAGTACAATGTATCTGGACCAGTGCCACACAATTTCTAACCAACAGCACACAGGGTTAAGAAAGGACGCAGAAGCCAGCTCGGATTGAGTAGTGCTGTATTGTATTATCTACAGTTATTTTTTGCTCTGGTGCCCCACTAGCTTGTGGAGAAACTACCTTGTTTAATGTGGGCTCAAGGCACCTGCAACATAAATATATAAAGAACTTATAAGAATACAACTTATGGGGGTAACAAGTTCTAGAAGAAATGTACTTATTACCTTACTTATGTAACTGCAACCCCTCTGTATACCACCTTGGCAATAAAAAATAAATATTTTTTAAAAAGAAAAAAAAGAATACAACTTACAAATTCTTCATTATCTGAACTGATCAAGAAATAGGTTGTTTAGGCTTATCAAAATGTCTACTTGGAGCTGAATGCCAGTGGGTCATTTCATTTGAAGATCTTAGTTCAAAGCAATCCAGAGCAGAAAAGTCTGAGATTCTTATATCCAATTAACCAGCAAAAAGCTAGAGGTAGAGATGTGGCTCAAGTAGTAGAGCACCAGCCTTGATCACAAAAGCTAAGCAGGAACGAAATGACCTGAGTTCAAGCCCCAGTACTGACATATTAAAAAATTCTAATTCATACTATGTTGGAAATAAACTATAGAAGTTTGTGGGGAGGGAAATCAGGAAGGGAAAAATGGGAGAAAATGAGGGAGAAGGTGACATTGTTCAAAAGGAAATAGACTCATGACCTGAATCATGTAACTCTAAGTAACCCCTCTGTATATCACCTCTACAATAAAATTTATCAGGGCTGGGAAGGTGGCTCAGGGGTAGAGCGCTTGCCTCGCATGCCTGAGGCCCTGGGTTCGATTCCTCAGCACCACATAAGCAAAAAGAAAAAAGCCGGAAGTGGCACTGTGGCTCAATTGGTAGAGTGCTAGCCTTGAGCTGAAGAGCTGAGGGACAGCGCCCAGGCCCAGAGTTCAGGCCCCATGACTGGACCCCCCCTCCCCCCCCCAAAAAAAAATCTAATTCAGTTACAGATTGCTTGACTTTCATGTACAAGATTCTGGGTTCAATTCCCATCACCACAAAATAACAACAAAACTATCATATTGAATAAAAGTCAATCAGCATCAGCATGGAGGTACTTCTGTAATCTCAGAAACTCAGGAGGCTAAGGCAGAAGGATCTGGAGTTTGAAGCCAGCCTGAACAACTTAGGAAGACCCTATCTCAAAAATAAAACCATCACCTGATGTTAGTAGTTCACACTTATAATTCTAGCTGCTCAGGAGGCTGAGATCGGAGGATCCTGGTTCAAAGCCAGGCTAAGCAGGAGAGTCCAGGAGGCACTTATCTACAATTAACCACTCCCTCAAAAAAGGTGTGGCTCAAGTGGTAGAGAGCACTAGCCTTGAGCAAAAAAAAAAAAAGCTCAAGGACAATGACTAAGCTCAGATTTCAAACTCCAGGACCCATACAAAAAACAAAAACAAAACAGCCAAGTGGTGGATTTAAATTTTTATTTTCTCTAAGAATTTTTAAGTCTCCAGGATTCATCTAATAAGATTATTTGGGGGATTTTTTCTGGGTAACTCAGGTGTTTCCTTATTATTAGAAACATTACATTTTAGGTATACTCAAGCAGAATCCATCAGAAAAAAAGGCAGACATGCTTTAGAGCCAAAGGTCTTCATGAAAAGCACATTGAAATGTCAAGATGAACACTGTCCACATTCCAATAATGCCATAGCTTATTCTGACTTCACAAATCACTTAACTTCCTCAAATCACTTACCACCCATTTTCAATGTAAGAGCCATCTTAATTTGAAGTATGTTTAGCTTACACTCGCTGCATGTACCTGAGTCTGCTCATTCATTCACCAGCCACAACTTTCCTACCCCCTCCCCATGCCCCTGCCCCATCTCTCTCTCTCTTTGGTTTTTTGGGGGTTTGAAGTTAGGGCTGTCCCTTAGGTTTTTTTTTTTTTCACTCAAGGCTGGCACACTACCACTTGAGCCACAGAGCCACTTCCATCCAGTTTTCTGGTGGTTTACTGGAGATAAGAGTCTCGCAGACTTTTCTGCCCAGGCTGGCTTTGAACCGTGATCCTCAGATCTCAGCCTCCTGAGTAGCTAGGATTACAAGCTTGAGCCACTGGCACCTGGCTTGATGATTTTCCTGCCTGGGCTGGCTTGGAATCATGATCCTTAGATCTTAGCATCCTGAGTAGCTAAGATTATAGTCATGAGCTACCAGTGCCTGTCCCTTCCTTCTCTCTTATACTTACAGAGCTCCTAGAAGTATCACATGAACCAGTTTTAATTATATACCATGTGTAAAAAATATTGCTATTGTTGCCTTTAATTTTGTACATGAGTAAACAGGCTGTGAGAGTTTCACAGGCACAAAACTACATAGTACATAATGCTGCTTTCACATTTAACTTTTAAATTATGATTTAAAAACTATCCCGTCAGCAGGCTGGGAATGTGGCTTAGTGGTAGAGTGCTTGTCTATCATGCATGAAGCCCTCGGTTCAATTCCTCAGTACCTCAGAAACAAAAAAAGTCAGAAATGGTGCTAGGGCTCAAATGGTAGAGTCCTAGCCTTGAACAAAAGCCCAAGCCCTGAGTTCAAGCCTCGGGACTAGCAAAAAAAAAAAAAAAAAAATGCCATCAGATCTTTGAAAGTAATTTATAGGGATAATAATCCCACCAAGATCATTTTAACAAATTAGCTACAAAATTATTACAAAAAAGTAATCAAACAGTAAAAAATGCTAATCTTTAATAAATTTACCTATAGCTCTATCAGATGTTTTGATGGTTTAATAGAAGGCTGGGTATAGTTCAGTGGTAGACGTACAGGTAGCCAGAGCTTAAGATAAAGAAAGTGGTCACCAGCAAGATCTCCATCACTGCATAGATGGTGATGTGTTCCCATTTCTGAGGCTGTGGGTAGACGCAATGCAGAGAAGACAGACCTAGAAACTACTCTTTAGACATGAAATCCTGGGCAACTAGTTTATCTCAGTCCTGCTTCAGTCTGGTCACGTGTTACATGGAAATATAAATAATCTTGCCTGCCTCAACTCTCTCACAGAATATATAAAATGAATCAAACCAAAATACATATTAAAAAGATATTTGAAAAAAAAAAAACACCTGCCACCTTCAACAAAGAAGCAAAGGAGCTGGCAAGTTTCTTGAACAAAATTTGTGGAAGAGGGCTGGGAATGTGGCTTAGTGGTAGAGTGCTTACCTAGCATGCATGTAGCCCTGGGTTTGATTCTTCAGTACCATATAAACAGAAAACGCTGGAAGTGGCAGTGTGGCTCAAGTGGTAGAGTGCTAGCCTTGAGCACAGAAAGGCTCAGGGTCAGGGCCCAGACCCTGAGTTCAAGCTCCACAACTGGCAAATTAAAAAAAAAATGTGGAAGATTTTGTGAATAAAAGCTGACTATAAGAAAAGGAACACAATACCAATTAAATTTCTACTTTTCTGGCTACCAAACCAAGTGCCTGAAAAGTCTCAGACTTATCTTATAGTTCTATCGCTTGGGTACTAAATACTTTGATAGTGTTCTCTTCAGAATGGTTCCAAATTTTCTTTATTCAAAATTAACCTCTTAGTGGAGAGGGAAGGGTAAAGAGACCCCTGAAGTACCAGATGCTGCCTTGTGTGTAACTGCTAGAGCTGGTAGTTCTTAGCCTTCCCACCTAGTTTCTTCACTGAAAGAGCCGTATCTACAAGAAATTCACTTTATTTATTTATTTATTTTTGGTGCCCGTACTGGGGTTTGAACTCAGGACCTCACACTTTCACTTGGCTTTTTCTGCTCAAGGCTTGTGCTCTACAACTTGAGCTACACCTCCACTTCTAGCATTTTGAGGGTGTTTTTTTAATTGATTTCATTAGAGATAAGAGTCTCACCAACTTTTTCACCCAGTGTGGCTTTCTTTGCATCATAATAATCCTCATGTCTCCTGAGTAGCTAGGATTACAGGGGAGAGACACCAGAGCCCATTGAAAGGTAACTTACTTACTTTATTTATTTATTTATATTTATTGGTCCATTACTAGGACTCGAACTCAGTACCTAATGCTTTACACCTCACTGGCTCATGCTCTATTGAGTCACACCTCCAACTCTGAAAAGGTAACTTTAAATGTCATTTAATTCTGTTACATTATCTTCTTAACTTCAAAGAGAATACTCCTTATTCTCCTCTGCCTGGAGTAAATGATAGCTGCTTAACCTACACTCACACATTCAAACATGGAATAGGATGATGTGATATAAAACCACTCAACTAAAAGCAACAAAAAACATCTGATGAAGGGGCTGGGAATGTAGCTTAGTGGTAGAGTGCTTGCCTAGCATGCATGAAGCCCTGGGCTCCACTCCTCAGTACCACATACACAGTGGTGCTGTGGCTCAAGTGGTAGGGTGCTAGCCTTGAGCAAAAGCAGCTCAGGGACAGTGCCCAGGCCCTGACTTCAAGCCCCAGGACTGGTAATAAATAAATACATACATATATAAATAAATAAGCAAATTATATATATATATATATATCTGATCAAATAACAAAATTTCCAAAAGTAAATTCTCTGCAGACTAAGACCTTGCAAAATAAAGTGTCTTTCAACAGGAACCAAGTGCAAGGGCAGGGAGCAGAATATAAGGTTATTACAAAACAAGAAATACTCTGGAATTAAGTGTGGATACCTAGAAACTTAGAGTAAACAGAATTAAGTGTGGATACCTAGAAACTTAGAATAAACATCGGAGACACTCAAGGTGTAAACCATGAACAATGGATCCTGAGCAGAAAAGCAACAGTAGCAAAGTAACATCTATAACACATACTTGCAGTATGTGTTTTGATAAAATGCACAGGACACAGCAACTCCTAATAACCAATGTATTTCATGCAACTTCTGGAAACAGAAATTGGATGTGTGGATTCCTGAAGCACAGACAATGACAACTTCAAGTTGGTGAGGAGAGTAAAGCACACATGGGTTTATAAGCTGGAGATACAGACTTAAAAAAAAAAAATCAAGAAACTGGCCAGGTACTGGTAGCACATGTCTGCAATCCTAGCTTCTCAGGAGGCTAAGATCTGAGTATCACAATTCAAAGCCAGCCCGGGCAAGAAAGAACATGAAACTCTTATCTCCCACTAAGCACAAAAAAGCAGGAAATGGGGCTGTGACTCAAGTCGTAGAGCACTAGCCTTGAACAAAGAAAGCTTAGGGATAGCACCCAAGCCCTAAGTTCAAGCCCTATTATCAGCACAAAAGACAAAAAACATAGACCAAAGGAAAAAAACAAAAACAAAAAACTGTGTGAAGCTCTTGGGAGACTGAAGAGAAGCAGGTTGGATCCAGTGTGGTATTGGCAAAGTAGCCCAGGGTGGGTGCTGTGAAGCATCCATCCATTGAAGAGCTTTGCAATTTCCTCTAAAGCATGATTTTCACAGAAATGGACATTGGTCAGTTCAGGAACCCTCCCAGTAAAACTTTCAGGAATGATTCTTTAGCCAAAAGAAAAAGTGCTTTAAAAAAAAGTTTCCGTTATCTTCAAATAGCTATACAAAAGGGTATCAGTTCAACATGACAGTTCATGAGTGACAGGCACCTTGGTCAATGTCGCCCCTTTCCTCATCTCCCCTCATCTCTCCCAAACCCACCCATCCCTCAAGTAAGAAACAGCTCTTGTTCAGTTATTTGGACAGCACAGCCCCGAATGAGGCTTGCCAGTATCAATCAGGCAGCCTGCACAGCTCCTGCTGTTGCAGAAGGAGTAACCTAATTTGTGTGTGCCTGGCTGACAGGAAAATTCAAGGCTGTAATGTGATGTCTAACTTCTGAGTTCACGATCAACATCCTCCGGCAAAAATACTTGAGCAAAAGACCCCTGTTATGTCTAAATATGCCACATCTTCCTTGGGTAAACAGAAGCTCTGGTTTTCATAAATTAAATCTTGAAAGTCAAACATATGCTCACAGGAAAGGCAGTAGTACTCCACTGCATGAAGTTACATTGTCAATGTAGAAATCATTTCAAGAACCTCTTTATGCTAGCGCCTCCAAATACTGAGCTCCCCGCCTCGCCACCCCCCCCCCCCCCAACCCTAATGAGCTTCAAGTCAGAGGCTTTGCTGTAGCGGACCTTTAATCACAATCAGGAAACAATATCTGCAGTGATGTTTTACAATTTACAAAGAGCAGACTTTTTGTTTGTTGCTACAATCGCTTAATGACATTCTGCGTTCAGCGACAACAAAACGCTGACTGGGCAGTTTGAAACATCAAATCAGAATAATCTTGTTCCAACATAAATCCCCTTCCCTCCCTTTTTTTTTTTTCTTACAGTAAACTCATAAATAGACACAGCCATGATAATGAATGAGCAGATCAACTTCTCAGTTACAATTCTGAAAGGCGTGGATACTGCAGGCATTGAATGCTGAGAATCTTGGCACTGAAACTATGAGGATATTCTTGACAATCTGATAAACTGTTCCACCTCTCAAAAAAAAAAAAAAAGAGAGAAAGAAAGAAAGAAACCCACACATAAAGGACAATTCAAACTGCATCCCACATGAAAAAAAAAATGTATATATAACATCATTCTCTTGGCACATGCACTTGCCTAGACCTTCACTCTCTTACTGAAGACAAATGCCTACTATTGTTTAAACCGTTGAAACAATAGCCTCTACCAACGGCTTCAGACTGCACTGAGGAAGCGCCAGACCACAGACTGCAAGCAACAGAAACCTTACCTGGGAACCCCCCCTGGACCATGGCTGTGCGGTGGCTCCTTCAGGGTGTCCGCATTCCTGACAGGCAGGCAGTGCCGGAAGCAGCTCAGAGCCTCCCCACGCGCTCTGCCTTCCCTCTTCCCACGACCTTGGGCCTCCCCCTCCACCCCTCTCCACCACCTCGGATTTTATTCTCTGCAAGGGAAACCCTGTCTGTGTATTTCTATCACATGAGACACCGTCAATTAAGTTAAGTTCAAGCTAGCCCTCAATCGAGCAGCTCACATCTGTCAGGAGGTGACTGCTGCCTGAAAAAGTCTGCAGGGAGGAGCAGAAGCCCGGGTTGGCAACATCTGACCCTTAGTGCCCTGACTCTTAGCTCTCATCAGCATCAGAGCAAAGGCAGGACAACTGCAACCATTTATTTTGTGTCCTCAATGCATACCATTTAATGAGCTGGGTTGTCCTGCTGAGGCAGTAACATCTCATTAGTAGCATCTTCCAAATGCTCACTAAAAGGAGACAGCAACTGATCTTCCCTAGAGTGAGAGGGATCGCCATCAACTTCTCTCTTTCCTATTGCTCTCAGTATTCAATCATGTTCGGACAAAGAAATCAGTGTACATAATTCCCCAGTGAGTTCCTCTTATGCCCCCCAGACATTTTTCATGCATAAGGAAGACTTTATTTAAGCAGTGAAGTCAAGTTAGCTTGTGGGGGGAAGGGGGAGATAAAGGACGTATTAAAGGAAAATAGTCACTTTGGAGCAATCACTAAGTTTCTTAAACTACTCAGGAAATGCTACCTCAACCCCCACCCCAACACACACACACACACACACACACACACACACACACACACACACACACACACACACACACACACACACACACACACACACACACACACACACACACACACAGCACAAGCACACATACACACAGCAGGAGCATACAAGCCTGTCACTGCTACAGTTGCTATCAGAACCATCTGTAGGTTACATCCCAATCCTCTAAACTTAATAAACTGTGGAATAAGTCATCTATGCAGATCAATGCATCAAGTCAATGTGTCAGGCTCAGGTAAGCTACTCAGGAGGCTGAATGGAATCTGAAGATCAAAGTTAAAAGCTAGCTCAGGCAAGAAAGTCTCTAATTAACCACCAAAAAGCTAGAAGTGGAGTCGTGGCTCAAGTGATAAAAGTGCTAGCCTTGAACAAAAAGCTCAAGGAATGTGCGCAGGCCCCGAGTTCCAGTGCTTGGACCAGTGGGCATCCGCACACACATGTGCATTCATACACAAAATCAAGAAGAATACCAGAACATCCAAGAAAATGTAGTATATACATATATACAATGGAATTCTATGCTTTCATCAGAAAGAATGTCACTGCCCCATTTGTAGTGAAATGGAAAGACTTGGAAAAATCATATTAAGTGAAGTAAGCCAGATCCAAAGAAACATAGGTACCAACTGGTCCATTTGGGATGTAATATCTTGATATTTATTGCTCACCACTTAGATTTTTCAATAAAATAATATTTTTGGAAAAAAAACATAGATCACATGGTTTTTCTTATTTATAATAATTAGCATATCTCTAGGATAATTTTAGCAGATGAGTAGAATAGTTCAGTAGCTATGTACATATGACCATATAAGATGATGCTAAGCAAAATGAACTCCAAGACATGGACACAGGAGGTTTTTCTTTGTTGCTGTTGTCTTTAATGTACTATGTGATTTCTTGTTTCTTTTTGTATGTTCTTCCCCTGAGGGTATATCCCCTGTTATCACTGTATTTTATTTTGGCAGCCTGGTATTATATGTACGCTTATCGAAATTAGGGAAGGGAAGAGGAAAAACAGAACAGTGAGACGAAGGACAAGGGTGAACCAATGCAAAGGGGATATTCACAAGATAATACATTGGAAATGTATATAACTTGGGGGAGGGGTTAGCAAAGTATGAGAAAAATGAGGGAAGGGGTAACAAGTTTGACAAGAAATGTACTTATTACCTTACTTATATAACTGTAACCCCTCTGTAGATCACTTTGACAATAAAAAAATACCAGAATATCAAGATACATTATACCAATAAACTGATATGGTAAATTGAAATCCTCTTTGTACAACTACTTAAAGATAATTTAACAATTAATTTTTTTTTTAATTAAGGGGCTGGGAAGGTGGCTCAGTGGTACAGTGCTTGCCTTGCATGCATGAGGCCCTGGGTTCTATTCCTCAGTACCACATAAGCAGAAAAGCCAGAAGTGGTGCTGTGGCTCAAGTGGTAGAGTACTAGCCTTGAGCTGAAGAGCTGAGGGACAGTGCCCAGGCCCAGAGTTCTGGCCCCAAGACCTACACACACACCAAAATAAAAAAATAAAAAATAAATTTAAAGAAGTATTAATAGATAATGGAAAATACAATTTAAAAAGAATACCAGAACACAATTTAAATGCTACTCAAAACAGTTCAATAATACATTTTTTAAATTTATAGTTATAGTAAATCCATCCAAGTCACATCAAGGCCTGAACTTTGTAGTTTCCATAAATATATTATTTCATTTTAAAATTAATTTTATTATTTTCATGCTGGTACTGGTGTTTAAACTCATGGCCTGAATGTTGTCCCTTAGCTTTTTTGCTCAAAGCTAGTATTCTACAACTTGAACCACAGCTCCACTTCGTAAGAGTCTCCCAGACTTTCTGTCCAGACAGACTTTGAATCATGATCTCCAGATCTCAAGTCTCCTGAGTAGCTAGGATTATAAAAATAAGCTATCAGCACTCAGTTTGGAATTAAAACAAAAACAAAAAGCTAAAATAAAAAGCCATCTTTAATTATAGGGCTAGGTTAAAGATGCTCCCTAAATTGAGTTAAATTATTTTTCTTTGACCAAAAAAGTAACAAGAAGAAGGGCAAACCATTAGTATGTTTTGTAAGTTGATCAGGGTTATACTGCTGGCCCATTAGAAGTGCGGTTCGGGTTCTTTATTCTCTAAGGGCTTGGCAACCATTGCGGTTGATTGTAGTGACATCTATTGGTAAGGGAGAGATCAACTGCAGAGTCTACAATAGAAGAACAGACAGAATGTCCAACCCCCAAAGCTCAGTTGCCCAGTACATCTTTGCTTGTCATTGAGTTTCTTCACACTAAAAAAGCAAAGAGCCTATGTGCCTCTGATCATATAAAGTAATATTTATTGAAAGGAACTCCAGGAAATGGAAAGAAGAGGGTTTATTTTTTCTTCATTTAAAAAAAAAGCAAAGAGCTGGTCACTGATGGCTCACACCTATAATCCTAGCTACTTCAGGAGGCTGAGATCTGAGGATCATGGTTCAAAGCCAGCCCGAGCAGGAAAGTCTGTGAGACTCTAATCTGCAATAAACTACTCAGAAGCAGTGCTGTGGCTCAACAATAGAGCGTTGCCTTGAGCAAAAGAAGGGACAAAGCCCTGAGTTCAAGCCCTAGGACTGGCCAAAAAAAAAAAAAAGAGAGAGAGAGAACTGGGAGGAACTGGAAATTACTGGAAGAGATGTGAATGGAGCCCTATACATCTAGTGAGATCTGTGCTGTAGACCTGCCTCGATGATATCTTGGCTTTAAATTTTTCAGTCATAAACTTAAACAAACTCCAAATGAGCTTTAAACTTCTCAAATTCCCTCACTGTTGAGAAAGACAATATATTTTAATTCCCTTCTTTTAAAATATTTTTATTGTAAAAATAGTGTACAGAGGGGTTAAGAGTTACATGAGTAAGGTAATGAGTACATTTCCTCCTCCTTTTTTTTCCCCCTACCATCCCATCCCTCCCCAGATCCCCAGATCCCTCCCCAGATCCCTTCTCCCCACCAAGCTGTAAAGTTCATTTTCAACATAGTGTCTTGTACATCTCATTGATATAATGGGTCAACCTGTATCCTTGTTTCAGCATTTTGTTATTTCCCTTCCCCAAATTAGAAAAACGCATATACAAGATGCAGGGCACCGACATCAAATACGTGAAAACAGGGGTTATACAATGTTTAATTTCCTTCTTTAAAGTACTTTACCATGTGAGGTCAGGTGCCAGCGGCATTCACTTAAGAATCCTAGCTACTTGGGAGATTGAGATTACGAAGGAAGAAGGCTGAGAAGAAAAGGTCAAGACAATCTTTCTTTAACAGTAACTGTATGTGGCAGAATCTGCTTGTTTTCCTAGCTACTATAAGAAGCCTATCTGAGGTTGGATGACAGTACAAGTGTCCACCCAGGTAGGAAGTGAGATGAATCTTGAAAGCAGCCGACATTAAAAACAGGTCTGGTGACATGGCTCAGCAGGAGAGCACTTGCCTAGCGGAGGCAAAGCCCAGAGTTCAAATTGTCCTCCTCCTTCAATTCAGATCTTTTAAGTTTTAACTATGCCTTACAAATGTGGTTACTCAAAATATAATACCAACTTTGAAATGACTTGAACAGCTATAGTAGTAAAATTGTAATTACAATTGTAATTGTAAAATTGTACATTACAAATGCAAGAGTCAACAATTTTAGTAAACTTATAGTTTTTCCAACATTCCTATAATCCTCCAATTCCTTCTAGCCAGATCCCAATGCCAGCCCTAGGCTGCTTTCTGTTAGCAAATATTTGTTGTTTTTTCAATGGACATTTAATAGAAATGGAATCATGCAGAATACAGTCTGTTCATCAGGCTTCTTTTCCATGGCACAATGAATGCTATCAGAGTTAGTTCCTTTTTATTGCTATATAGATGCACAACATTTTGCCTCTAAGTTTATCTGCTGATGGATGTTTGACTTAATTAACAGTTTTTTGTTATTATGAAGGGTGCTGTTCTAAAAGTTATGCAGTGTGTGTGTGGACATGTATTTTCACTTTCTTGGGTAGAAGAGGAAGTGGAACTGCAGGACTATATAGTACTCCTCTATGTTACTGAACATTTTCAGAAACTGCAACTTGTTTTTCAAGGTGTCAGTACATTTTACATCTCCCCTAGAACAGTAGGTCAGAGTTTGAGTTATGCTATCTAGGTTTTTTGTTTATTGGGTTTGATTTTTGTTTTTGGTGTCTTTTCTGGGGCTTGAACTCAGGGCCTGGATGCTGTCTCTGAGCTTTTGTGTTCAAGGTTAGTGCTCTACTACTTGAGCCACAGGGCCTCTTCCAGCCTTTTTGGTGATTAATTGGAGTAAAAGCTTCATGGACTTTTCTTCCCAGGCTGGCTTTGAACTGTAATTCTCAGATTACAGTCTCCAATAAGTAGTTAGGATTATAGGCATGAGCCACTAGTACCCAGTGTTAGGTTTGTTTTAATTAAAATCATTTTAGTAAACCTGTAGTGTATTGAGCACCTTTTTATGTCCTTATTAACCATCATATGCCATTCCAAGTTTTTAACCTATGCAAAAGAAGTGGGTTGTTTTCTTTTTATTGAGCTAAAATGAGAAACGAAAAACTTTTTTTTTTTTGGTCTGAGACCAGAACTTGAACTTGGTACCTGATGCTTTTGTTATTGGCTAGCACTCTTCCAACTGAGCCATGCTGCCAAGTGCCCCCAAAAGACTTTTTTCCCTTCTAAATAAGCATGTATTATTATATGAAATTCAAGTGACTGAAGTTGGAAGGAGAAGTTCTTTCTTAAACTTTTCTTTCTTACAAATTATTTCCTCATATTCTTCTGCAACTTTTTCCAAGTTAAAAAAAAATACCAGGAATCCTAATCACTTCACCATTGATGTTGGAATTTGGCTAACCTCCACTATTTGTGTTTGGCCTGTGTTAGATCCAAGACTAGAAAGTTAGCTTGACCATCAGGCCCCGCTAACCAAAGTGCACAAGGCAGGTGAGAGAAATGCATCTGGGCATGAGTGGCTAACTGACTGCCTCAACTGGCACTGGTTATATAGGGGAAGGGTGAAAGGTCTCTGTGA